TAGGTCAAAATATTAAATAAAATCCAAAACCTCGTATTTATAGGGTACCCCTCAGGTTCCAGCTTCCGCGGANTACCCCTCAGGTTCCAGCTTCCGCGGGCCGCACCAAAACGACCGCGGTCCGCGCAGACACAACCGCGGCCGCACAGGCCTTCCTTTGCATTGACAAGCTTTAGTATTTTGGCCATACTTTTTGCTACAGGTGTCCAAATTGCAATATCTTTACCTTTATGGAAACTAGACACAAAGGGCTACAACTTTTGTTTTTGCATCATCTCAAAATTCCATGTGGATCAAAATATATGTGCTTCCGAATTTGGACCGACAATCTACAGATCTTCATGACCGTGGCCACGGTCACTTTTACGCGCCAACACTAAGCCAGCGCGCCCAGCGCTAATTCTACCGCGGCTAGCGCTAACAATTCTGCCCCCATCCATTTTCTAAGTTCCGAAATGTCCGTACTCACTCAAAACTCACCCGAAACACACCCGGAGCCATCAGATCTCAACCCAAACATACCAACACCTCCCATAACATCATTAACACCTAGTCGAGTTTTCGAATCACTCCGAACAACATCAAAACACAAAATCAACTTCGGATTCAAGTCTAAGAACTCCAAGAACTCTTAAATTATGCTTTCGATCAAAAAGTCTATCAAATCTCATCCGAATGACCTGAAATTTTGCACGCACATCCCAAATAACACAACGAAACTACTGGAACTCTCGGAATTCCATTCCGACCCCTATATAAAAATCTCACCTATCGACCGGAAAGCGCCGAAATCTCAATTTCGCCAATCCAAGCCTAAACCTTCCACGGACTTCTAAAGTGCTTTCTGATCATGCTCATAAGTCCCAAATCACCTAACGGAGCTAATCAAATCATAAAAATTCCCATCCGAGATCAAATACACATAAGTCAAATTTTGGTCAACCCTTTCAAATTTTAAGCTTTCAACTGAGACTGTTCTTCCAAATTCATTCTGATTAACCTGAAACCCAACACAAACGATTTACATAAGNTTGCCTCAATATAGCACCACGACGTGCAATCCGGGGTTTCAAATCCTCAGGACATCATTTACAACCATTACTCACCTCGAACTGGCTAATTCTCTAGCTCGCGACGCCTTTGCCCTTCGAATTAGCCTCCACGCGTCAAATCTATCCAAAATCAGAACAAATACACCACAATATGCCAAGGGAACAAAGCCCAAGCGAAAACATTCGAAAAATAGCAAAAATCCCGAAATTAGCAAATCTCGAGCCCCAAGCCCACGTCTCGGAATCGATTAAAATTTACATTTTCAGAATCCTCATACCCTCACGAGTCTAACCATACCAAAATTATTCAATTCCGATACCATTTGGTCCTTCAAATCATCATTTTACATTTTTGAAAGGTTTCACAATTTTCTTCCCAAATCACGAATTAAATGATGAATTCAGTGATAGATTCATGTATGCTAGCGAAATTTGAGTTAAAATCACTTACCCCGATGAATTCCTTGAAAAACCTTCAAAAAATCGCCAAAATCCGAGCTCTCTAGGTCAAAATATTAAATAAACCCAAAACCTCGTATTTATAGGGTACCCCTCAGGTTTCAGCCTCCGCGGGCTGCACCAAATCGACCGCGGTCCGCGCAAGCCAGTGCGGTCCGCGCAAACACAACCGCGGCCGCACAGGCCTTCCTCTACAGTGACAGGTTTTAGTATTTTGGCCATAACCTTTGCTACAGATGTCCAAATTGTGATAGCTTTACCTTTCTGTATACTAGACACGAAGGGCTACAACTTTCGTTTTTAAATCATCTTAAAATTCCTTGTGGATCAAAAGATATGAGCTTTCGAAGCTGGACCGACGATCTGCAGATCTTCATAACCGTAGCCGCGGTCACTTTTACGCGCCCAGCACTAAGCCAGCGCGCCCAACGCTAATTCTACCGTGGCCAGCGCTAACAATTCTGCCCCCATCTATTTTCTAAGTTCCGAAATGTCCGTACTCGCTCAAAACTCACCCGAAACACACCCGGAGCCATCAGACCTCAACCCAAACATACCAACACCTTCCATAACATCATTAACACCTAGTCGAGTTTTCGAATCACTCCGAACAACATCAAAACACAAAATCAACTTCAGATTCAAGCCTAAGAACTCCAAGAACTCTTAAATTATGCTTTTGATCAAAAAATCTATCAAATCTCGTCCGAATGACCTGAAATTTTGCACGCGCATCCCAAATGACACAACGAAACTACTGGAACTCTCGGAATTCCATTCCGACCCCTATATCAAAATCTCACCTATCGACCGGAAAGTGTCGAAATCTCAATTTCGCTAATCCAAGCCTAAACCTTCCACGGACTTCTAAAATGCATTTTGATCACGCTCCTAAGTCCCAAATCACCTAACGGAGCTAACCAAATCATAAAAATTCTCATCCGAGAAAAAATACACATAAGTCAAATTTTGGTCAAACCTTTCAAATTTTAAGCTTTCAACTAAGACTGTTCTTCCAAATTCATTCTGATTAACTTGAAACCCAACACCAACGATTTACATAAGTCATAATACACCACACGGGACAAGTCATGCCCGAGAACTGGCGGGCGAAATGCAAAAGCTCAAAGCGGTCGGTCGGGTCGTTACAATAACCCGAACCAAACCGACATATAAATATATAAATTGTATTTATATTTTTAAGACTTTATAGTGATTTTTCTTTAGAAAATGTAGAAATATTTGGGATCCTCTCATGTATTAAGCTTGAAAGTGTAAATTAACAAAAAATTATTGTTAGACGACTAAGAAAATAACTATCATGTGTTACTAGAAAAATTCTCCCATTAGAATATTTTAATAGATCATATATTTGTCAATTTTTTCCATATTTACTAAAATATATTCACTTATCAAAGCTTTATCTATAAATTTAACAAAGTAAGATTGAAATAATATTCTTGTAACAAAAAAACCTGAAAACCCAAAAAACCCGACAAAACCGAACCAATCCAAACCGATATAGTTGGTTTGGTTTGGTTTTGATAAAAACCGAACCAACCCGGTCCATGTACACCCCTCCGAGCAACTATAGGATATAAGATATATATTACTGAATTTTTACAGTGAGACAGGAAAATATCATTATAAACTCTTTTTCAATCAATATGTTGCAAGAAACACAAGGTTCTCAAACTTCAAATGGAGTAACTCCAAAGAATAAGACAGAAAATACGGTTCAAATCAGAAATGAAAATGCTAAGCATATTTCCACTTTAATAACAATTAAGCAATTACATATAATAAACCAATTCTTATCCTTTACAAATTCTGCAGTTTTAGGATCCCTATCTACTGCTGTAGAATGATCCATTTCAAGAACAGAAATTGGATAACATTATCCTCTCAAAAAGTATTGCTCAAACTTGCAGCACAACAGTTATTATTAAAGAGATGCAAGTGACGAATAAGGTCAAGAGGTAATTTTGATTACCTTTGTTTCATGCCTATGGTTAGTGGAACATAGTGGTTACTGGAATGTTTGTGTACAGGACAAAAAGTGAAAAGCAAGCTGCAGTGCAAAATTTATTTTCCTGCAAAACAACTGTTGATAAATATGAATTTTTTAAATAAATTTACATGTAATGGAGCCAATTAGAATTTTTACAGAACTACCACATGTACATATGTTGCTAAATTTCTAAGTTTTCGTAGGTAGGTCAGTGTTGTGAAGAGCGTCAAGTAAGGAAAAGCGAGAAGCTCCTTTTTGCTTAAAGCGAGAAAAAATGGCAGTAAGAACTAAGAAGAACTGGAGGACTAAAACGGAAAAATTGGCAGTAAGTAAGAAAAAAATTGGGCAGCATTTCGCTGCGAGTTTAAGGACCAAAACGAAAATAAAAAGAAGAAGAAGAACTGAAGGGGAAAAAATTGGCAGCATTTCGTGGCTATTTTAGGATAGAAGAAGAAGAAGAAGATGAAATCACATACCTGGCCTTGAACTCGATGAGCTTGAACTTTGCTCTGCTCCTCAATGATGTTTGGAAAAAGATACATTTTTTTTAATGTTGCACAAGATGTACACAAAACTTCTAGACCCGGCAACTCCGAAGGACGGGGCAGTCACTAAAAATACTGAAACAATCGCTACTGTCGCTTCTCGCTACAATCGTACTTCTCGCTTTTTGGAAGAAGCGCACGCTTCAACTAACGTGCTACGCTTCTTGATTTAAGCGCTGAAGTGAGCGCTTTTCACAACACTGGTAGGTTATTTCTATTTTGTGGATAAACGCATAGGAGTTGACATGACATCAGAGTATACAAACTATCTCTGATGTGGTTTTCTATTTAGTTACCTTTGTTCCATGAAAGCCAAAACTGATCGCAAAAAGGAGCTGATTAACCTGCAAATATTTTCGGGGAAAAAAAAGAAGATGAAAATGAAAATGGTTGTTGTTAAAGGATAGGTTTAGTATATAATTCAAACAATGAATGAGGAAGAGAAATTTTTGAGTGACCTTCATTTCATTTTCACTGGAGTCGTTTGCTCCAGTTTTTGTTTTAGCTTGAACAATTCACCTCGTTCAGTTGCTAGCTCTATTTCTCCATCAGAGGAAGACAAATCTTCTTTCTTTCTCTTGCTGCCTTCACCTATATCCGTTGTGGTTGGTGCAGGGAGAGAATGAATGATATTTTCTTTTTCAACGCATGATACAATATACAATTTTCCAGATGTTGCTCCTGAATTGCGTGCGAATGCTTTTTTCACTTGAATTTTGAACAGTTTTTGACTAAGCCTGCTTTGCACATCTTGCATTTGCAAGGACTCATTCTGAAAAAAGGAAATATATTAAGTTATTTTGCAAGTTCAATAGTAAAGTGATCGTGTGTGAATTGTTTACTTAGAATACATACATTAACTGAAGCTCGCTCATAAACTTCTTCTGCAGTAAGACATAATATTTTCTCTCCTTCTTTACCCATAACCATTCCAAATATTGAGCCAGAGGTATCTTGAAGATTCACATCAAATCGATACCTGTATTATATGTGTGAAAGTCAATAAGAGTTTAGGGCAGAGTCTGATTATGCTTTGGATGTATCTATAAAATTAGATAAGAAAGTACCCGGGAGTCAACATATTTTGTTGATTGCAGTTCATGTTGAATTTGGCAAAGTCCCACATTGTGGGTTAGCCATTTGGTTGGGAAATTTTTCCTATAAAAGAAGGCCTAATGTTTAGTATTTAGACACACGTCTCATTTGCCTTCTCATCTGTTTAAGACATTTGTATCTTCTCTCTTTAGTATTATTTCACTT